TACCACTAAAACTCGTATCGTTTTTGATGCCTCGTGTCCCACTTCTACCGGCATATCACTAAATCATACACTCAAGGTGGGCCCTGTTGTTCAAAGCGATCTCTTTTCCATATTGCTACGATTCAGACAGCACAACTTCGTATTTACCGGTGACATTGCCAAAATGTATCGCCAAGTGTTGGTAGACCCAACACAGCGTAATCTTCAACGCGTGATATGGCGAAATGATCCTTCCCAGAAAATTAACATTTATCAGTTAAACACCGTGACATACGGCTTGGCAAGTTCATCATATTTAGCCACTAGATGCTTAAAGGAAATTTCTATACATTCTTCTGCTACATTTCCTGAAGAAAGTCGTAAGCTCAACCTAGATACGTATGTCGATGATGTGGTGACCGGTGCTTCAACTGAACAAGGCTTGATTGCTCTTCGTCGAAACTTAACATCAATATTAAGTTCCTATGGCTTCAATCTAAGGCAATTTTCATCAAACAGTATGGCTCTACTATCAGATATAAATGTAGATGATCACAAAGAAGAATATATAATAACCGATTCACCAAACAGTAAAACTCTTGGCATATCTTGGAATTCCTCAACTGATTCATTTATCTACAGCACAAAGATAAAACCGAACCCATACAGTATTACAAAAAGGACAATTCTATCAACCACAGCTTCTATTTTCGATCCTCTAGGCTGCCTTGGGCCAATGCTCGTCCAAGCAAAGGTTCTAATGCAAAAATTATGGATTCAAACGACTTGACTGGGATGATCCTATTCCTGTGGAACTCTATAAAATTTGGAAATCATTTATAGATAACCTTACTCTCGTTAACTGCTTTAATATACCTCGTCAAATCACTACGATAGATCCCATTTACATTGAGCTACATGGCTTTTCCGATAGTTCGATAAATGCATATGGAGCTTGCATATATGTACGATCTGTTGATACACACGGTCGCATAGTTAGCAATTTACTGTGCGCCAAATCACGTGTCGCTCCATTAAAGGCTATTTCACTACCTAGACTAGAATTGTGTGGAGCCCTTACTCTTGCTCGTCTAACTACAAACGTAATTGAATCGTTAGAACTTAATTTCTCAAAAATTTATTTCTATACCGACTCCACAATTGTTCTATGCTGGTTGGGTCTTGAATCTCGCACTTTGAAAACATTTGTATGCAATCGTGTATCCGAAATCCAGCAATTAACAAAGGTAGATGAGTGGCATCATATACCTTCCAATATAAATCCTGCTGACATAATATCTAGAGGAGCTAGTCCGTCCGAATTGCATGAATGTGATCTATGGTGGCATGGACCTTCATTTTTGTTGCAATCTCAGGATACTTGGCCCTCTAACAATCACATATCTAACTTCACAGCGCATACTGCTGATTCAGATTTAATGGAAATTAATCCAAAATCCATTGTTTTATCTACTCAAGTATCTCATTCAACCTTAATATCCTCACTTGTCAATAGATATTCTAGTTATATCAAACTTCGGAACGTCCTGGCTTATTGTTTTCGATTCATTCACAATGCTAAAGCTTCAAGGGAATTCCGGATAACTGGAAATCTCACATCAACGGAGGTTGACCAAAGCACACATCATATTATCAGGGAAGTCCAGAGAGAAAGCTTTTTTGAGGACATTCATCAATTAAAGGCCTCGTGGTCGAGTCAAACCTTCCAGTAAATTAAGCTCACTGAACGTGTTCCTTGACGACTTAAACCTAATCAGAGTGGGAGGCCGTTTAAGACACGCTTCTATCCAATTCTCAGCAAAACATCCAGTTTTACTTCCACATAAGCATCCTCTGACAGAATTAATTATCCTTTATGAGCATAAGCGAAACCTTCATCCTGGAGCCCAGGCGACGCTATCTTTCGTCAGACAATCCTTTGGCCATTAAACGGCAGAAATGCGGTCAGACATGTTCTTAGTAAATGTATTCCATGTTTTAGAAGCAATCCTCAAACCATGAACAATTTAATAGGGGATTTACCTGCCTCTCGAGTAAATATGTCTCATCCCTTTGCGCGCTCTGGCGTCGACTACGCTGGACCATTCAAACTTAAGGAATCTAAATTTCGAAATCGTCGATTTACTAAGGCATATATTTGCGTATTCGTTTGCTTGACTACTAAAGCGATTCACACCGAATTAGCTAGCGAATTAACTTCAGAATGCTTCTTAAGCATCTTAAGACGTTTTGTTGCGAGACGAGGTCTATGCACTGAGTTGTACTCAGATAATGGTACAAATTTCACTGGAGCTAACAAACGAGCTGCAAGGTATTTACATGTGCTAAAAAACAAATGCAATCCAAGCTTTTTCTCAAGAAAATAAAATAAACGTGGCATTTCATTCCTGCCAGATCTCCGCACTTTGGAGGGCTATGGGAGAGTGCTATAAAATCAGTAAAAACTCATTTGTACCGTGTCATAAACGATGCCAATCCTTTATCCTATGAGGAATTGTATACTCTTTTAGTACAGATTGAAGGTGTGTTAAACTCTCGACCCTTGCTTCCTATGAGCAACGATCCCAATGATATGGAAGTACTGACTCCTGGCCATTTTCTCATTGGTCATCCGCTCAATATGGTTCCCGCTATAGACTACGAGAATTCGCCGATCAACCGGCTCACCCGATATGAGCTATTGCAGCGTATGTTACAGCATTTTTGGTCCCGGTGGAAAAATGAATACTTGCATACTCTGCAGCAACGAGCCAAGTGGAGATATAGCAAAGACACTGCCAGCTTACAAGGACGGATGGTGCTCCTGAAGGATGAGAGTCTTCCGCCCTACCAATGGTCCCGTGGACGCGTAAGTGCTCTCCATCCTGGCAAAGACGGACTTGTGCGCGTTGTGAGTGTCTCTACCCCAAATGGAATTGTTAAACGTAGCGTTACTAAACTGTGTCCGTTACCTGATGAACAATAAAATAGTCTTTCCTCGTTTACTGTAAATTGAAACAACTAATTTTAAGGTTTTGTTTTTTTTTGTATGTAGCATGTTCATCTATATAAATATTGTATATTTCATTGTAATTCTGCAAGCAACAGCCTAAGCGAACCATTTTTAAATAATTAGTCACTCCCTTGCTTTATTGAAGTGTATCCCTAGATAACTTCAAGGGCGGCGGTATGTTCGATCCTAATTTTATGTTTAACCTTGAGTGGACCGCTTTTAGTTTACAAAAACACGTTTTTATTTCACGCGGTTAAAAAAGAGTAGGTTTGCACTGAAAACAGGCGAGTTACCATAGAGGACGTAAAATTAGCAACATCAGTCAGAAAAAAATAATATACATTGTCACATTTTTACGAAGTTTTACGTTTCGCTTAGCGTTGTTGGGTGCTGATCCAAATAAATGCAGTTTCTAAAAATAAATAAACTTCAAATAGTCATTTTAATGTGAATTTCCTACAGCCGATCCAATCGACAACAAAGATAGGACATCACAAAAAGTGCTCAAACGCCCGTTGGCTTTTTACAGTCCTCCAATAAAAAGGGCGAGAGCAAACAGATACTTATATTTATACGCTTCATTTCTTTAACGGTGTTGTGAATTTTCGTACATGCTTCTTACATTCCATGTACCTACTTTTCTTTCTTTAGAAAATGTGTTCATGTTTCTAGCTGATCGGGAGATTCTTGGAAAGGAGCACCCCTGCTCCATTTAAGGAGCGCCCGTGATCGGGGCCGTTGTATTTATCAGCCATTTCCATGATTGTTTCTAGGGAAAATTAGTCTCTAAGTGGTTTCCCGTTGCCTTCCTAGAGTGTGTAATAGAAGGAAATATAGTGACCCGTCTGCCCTCGGAAACCTAATAGCCATTCGGGGTCGGAAGAAACAAGAGTTAGCCAAAAGAGGCCGATAGAAAAGATTAAAGACATTTCACTTAAGACAAGTTGAAAGAGTGAAATGTGAAGGCCCTTATGATGCGCCAGGTGCGTTTTATAAGCGTATGAGTATTATTACACTTTTTTTCCGCTCATACCTCGGGGTATTGACTACAGACTGTATGACTTGTCCAGCATGCCATAGCATGGAGGGAAGGGTGCATGTCATTTTTTACAAAGTAGGCACCCAACACGGCTTGACTCACATATATCGACATATATCGACACATATCATACATATATCGACAATACAGCGTCGAACTATTCGTTAACATCAGAAAATATGTTTCCCGAGACTGGGGGTTTTCTATTTGTCATTCAAGATCAGATTATTCCAACTAAATATTACCTGAAATATATAAAATATATTGTTAAGGACCTGCAGTTCAAAATGACAAATCAGAAGAAAAGGCAAAAGAAAAGATTGATATGACAAATGCCGATATGGATGCCAAGTCCAAGAAATCTTCCTACATATTACCGGGGACTGCCAGGCGCTGATTATACTGATTATAAAGAACTCCATGACTCAGTAGGAAAGATTATCCACCAAACACTAGCTTACAAACTAAAACTTCTCCAAACCTAATCCTTCTCTTCCTAATTATCAATACGTCCCTAATGCTTAAACATGACAACTACAAGTTATACTGGGACCGCACTGTGCTCACAGACCAACCAGTGGCACATAATAGACCAGATCTCATATTAGTTAATAAACTTACTAGACAAACAACACTTATTGACCTAACACCAATAAGTTACGTGTTAAATACAACGAAAAGATCGCCAAGTATAGATATCTAGAAATACAAATAGAAAAACAATGAAGAATGAAAAGTACTCAGAATAATTAGTAAACTAATAAACTAGTAAAATTTTTAGTTTAAACATTATGTTGTAATTTTTATATTTAATTTCTTATATATTTTTAAGTCTCACACACAAGAGCGGCTACTTTTATGGTAGCTCTACTTCAGTGAGTTTTTATGTTTATTTAGTATTTAGTATTCTTTTTGTTTCCTGTAATCTATTTTATAAATATTATTATTATTGGTATTATCATTTTTTAGTTACAAACACATGGTTTTGGGATAGAATATGGCTTACAGTTTTTATTGGATATATTATGATAATGTTTTACGTAACAACGATTTTAGTTATATATTTAGAAATGCAGTTTGCCACAAAATTACTAATTTTATCCGAATCGGTAAGTATACTACTAAGTAACATTTTGAACAAATATCCTTTTCCACATGGAAACTAAATTCCTGTAGTTGCCATGTATCACAAAAAATTTTATTTAAAAAATTCCTTTATAAAAGGTGTAATAAAAACGCTATCGGGCTACATTGTAGAGGTTATATTGGTCTACCACATTGGATATTACTTATAGAGGGTTGTAACTGAAGACAGAAATTACTGGGCTGGAGATACGGTAAGCAAACAAACCGAAACGTCTGTGAACGGCTACTCTTGGTTTTGTTGGAGAGCTGGATCGTAAGTAAGTAAATAAAAGAGGTACTGGAAAGGGACCACAAAAAGAGAAATCAAAAAGTACTTACATGCATTTCCTGGACAACACAAAACCAGAAGGTTTCTAAACTATTTAAATTGGACTCCGTTTACAAGAATCTTCCTGCTGGATGGAAAGAAAGGCTTTCATGTCGTTGTATCACTGGCTGATCTATTTTCTTTAAGAAAGTTTTTGGGATCTAAATTGGACGAAACTCCTGCAAAAACAATTACGTCCCATAAGGTGCAAATTGATTTTTGAGAAGTTAGAACTGATTCTGGCTTCAGGTTAACAAACTGCAATCTTTAAATCTTGGTTTTTTGAAACACTAGTTCTTGAAACCATGTAGACCTCTCAAATCTTTGTAACGCTGCTTACAAATCTCCTACGTGGGATACAACACGTACAACAAATCGATAATTAAATCAACTAAACTGCCACATTTGCATTTGATTAGATTCACCTCTCCACAAAAAAAACTTTGCCGGTTTGTTTAGACGGCTACGCCGTGGTTTGTTACTTTTAAGATCTTAATTCCACCTTGACCTCGCTTCCTCTCCGTACCGGCTCTCTGCCTTTCTCACCCCTCTCGACCAGTTTTTGAAGCCGACCAATCGGATTTTTTTTCAAAGACGCTTTTCATAGGAAATTGGACTTTAAGGGTGCTTGGCTTTTGAAGTTGCAAAGGTTAAAAATGTAATATTAATTATTTAACTACGCAGTAAAATTTCTCTTGGATGTTGCAGATATAAACAAGAAATTCAAGGAATTTTTTTGTACATAGCCAGGGGCTTATAATAAATCTTATACATTAAATATTCGATGGTTATAAGGAAATTATTATGCTACAACATCACTGAACGATCTGGATGTACATGTTTAAGCGACTAAATATATATATATATATGTATATATATTATATATATATATATATTTATATATATGTATATATATATATTTATATATATTATATATATATATATAATATATCTATATATATATATATATATATATATATATATATATATAAGGTTCTTGAACTCCTAAGTGGAGCATAGAGCTTCAGTGAAAACGTGCCATCGGGTTCTATTTTGCGCTAAGGCCTTCACCTCATTCCAAGACTTTCCTTGTTTTCTTATCTCGTCCATGATGGATCTTCTCCAAGTTTGTACTGAGCGACCTTTTTTTCGTTTTCCTTGGGGGTTCCACTCTAGGGCAGTCTTTGCAATACTGGAGTTATTTTTTCGAAGTGTGTGACCGATGCAACCCCACTTTCTGGACTTTATTCATTTACTACCCTCTTTTGTTTGGTAAGGTGTAGTAAATCTTCGTTTCTGATGATGTTAGGCCAGAAAATACGAACAATTCTTCGTAGACATTTATTAACAAAGACTGCAGTTTGTCTGTAAGGGTTTTTGTCGCTTTCCAGGTTTCACATCCGTAAAGTGGTACAGACATGACATTTGACTGGAATATGCGGATCTTTGTCCTCGTAGTGTAGTCTCCAGACCTCCAAACAGGGTTGAGCATGCTGAAAGCTTGTTGCGCTTTTCGTATCCTCATACGAATATCGTCTTCTGTACCTCCGCTTTCTGTTATGACACTTCGAAGATACGTTAAAGCTTTCCACATTTTCAATCTGCATGTTATTAATGGTGATAGCGTGTTGTTTCTGAATTTATTTCTCATGGATTTGGTTTTACCAATATTGATTTTCAAACCTATTTTATTGGCTTCAGTGGAAAAGTGTTTCCAATTGGTCAGCCACATCTTGGAACCTTTGTCCTAACAGGCAGATATCGTCGGCGTATTCTAGATCGCTTAGGCGTGTGGTTAACGTCCATTGTATCCCTCATGTGTCAGAGTCTAGTTTGGAGAGAACATAGTCTAGAGCTATGTTAAAAGAAACGGAGAAAGCACGCATCCCTGTCTGACTCCCAGTAAGTACGTCAAATTCGTCACTGTTGATCCCTTTGTGTGTCACTCTGCATTTCGCTTCAGTGTACAGTAACTTTATAATGGAAATTATTTTATGCGGGATGTTTCTTAGCTCTAAAATTTTCCATATCGCATCATGAGATAAGCTGTCAAAAGCACGCTCGAAATCAACAAAAACCATGTATAGGGGTGTGCTCCATTCAACCGATTGTTCCATTATTAGCCTCACAGTATTAATGTGGTCTATGCAGGAGGATTCTGGTCTAAAACCTACTTGATTAGCTCGAAATTCAACCTTGTTTATTAATCTTTTAAGTATGATGGTCGTGTAAGATTTTATTTATGGGCGGTAAGCAAGGTTATTCCTCTCCAATTTTTGCATAGTGTGAGGTTGCCCTTTTTTGGAAGCTTAATAATGATGCCTTTTTTCCAGCCCGCTGGAATTGCGGTTTGTTTCCCACACCTCTCGGATTATGGGGAGCAAAAGTTCAGCAGTTAGATGCGATCAGTTTTAAGTATTTCGGCAGCAATGTTATCGATTCCCGAAGACTTGTTATTTTCAAAGATTTGATAGCTGTTATAATCTCTGTTTTGGAAGGGGCGTCGCAAGATATACGCAAGTCTATATTCTGTGGATTTTCGACAATTTTATCTGCGTTATCCTTGGGCGTGCCTAGCATCTCCTGAAAATTCTCTTTCCATCTCTCTAGTTGGTCATTTGTTGTAGTAAGTAATTCTCCTGTCTTGGATCTTACGACGTTTGATGGATCTTACGACGTTTGAACGACTAAATACATGGGTAAAACCCTTTGAATGTTATACGATTAACTTTGAGTTATAGTTTTAAAAATTAAAATTTAGGATGTTAAAGTTACAATAGGAATTGACTACAATTATGGCAACGTAGGACTCCACTGGGGTTGTTAATCCTTAAACAAAGTGTCTATGAGGACTTGTTGATAGCAACTGTTGCTTTTATGAACCTGTTTGATATGTATTAAAACTAAATAATACATAAATAATTAGAGTTTAAAATAAAAGTATCATGGTACGCAACCGTTACAAACTTGTGTAAAGTTGCCCAACTAAAACTTTCTCTAATGTCCACCTAGTCAAAATTTCTGTCTAACATATTTATTGTAGGTACAAATAAAAATTTTTTAATATTTATAGAGTATTTTTTATTAATACGTATATACATAAAACAAAATAAATCAAATGATGAAACAGCGAGTGCTACATTAATTTATAGCGACAGTTTAATATTTATTTATATATTATATATATTATTTATATATATATATATATATCAATATAAGGTTGAATGTTCGAATAATTAAACTTTGAGGGTATACAAGGCAACTATCGAACACGGTGAGTTAATTTAATCTTGCCCAAGTACTTTCAATCAATAGATCATCTTCAGGGGCATTTCGTCAATTGTGGACTATCCGACATAGTAGAATGTCATAAATTTAAAACTGGACATAACAATACAATTGAAAATTGGCCAATTGAAACGCTCAATACTCCGGAGTATTGGGTTTTTTTTTTGGAAGTGTAGAACTTCCAAATTTCAGAAGAACTGAAAGAGAAGTGATGAAAAAAAAAAACTAAAAATAGGGCTAAGCTCAGAGGAACAAATTTAAATAGCCAAAGAGACACTAAATCTCAAGTGAGTGTTCGGGCTAGCTTCAATGCACTGGATTGTGGCTTAAAGATATAAACAACAATAACAAGAGATAATGAGCTAATGAGACAGAAAGAAATGAGACCTGGTAATATCAAACGTGATACAACTGAAGAAGGTCACTGGGAATAAATTTTATAGAAAGAGAACAATAAGAAGAGAAAAGAAGGGCGCCAACTCAACGATAGTTGAGATTTTGATAGTAACAAATGAATCTGGAGATAATACTCTGAATACAAAATACTAAATATTAATCTTGTTTTGCTATGTTATATACTGGTTAGTAGAACTGAAATAAAAAACTCAAAATAGCAACAATAAATATATTTTATAAAAATTTATATAGGTATATGTGTATAAACAATTTACATATTATGCAAAGCCAAATAACAGTGGTAGTGGATGGTTGTACAGATACAATAGGACTTAATAGCCCCTCAACAAATGAATAGTCACTACCACTGGCCAAATAAAATATGAAATATTAGTATACAACAAGAATAGTCCGTATTGTAGCCAAAGTCTTAACACAAAAAGGTAGTCATTTAAATTTAAATTAGTTCTACTAAATGAGGGTACTAATGACAATATTGTAAAGATATCAAACTTGATAAATCTCTATTACAATTATATTAAATATATATATTACATCCAAAAAATGAGTTGTTCCATACTCATTATATCATATTTAAAAAAAAAACATTAAATTTATTTCCCTTTCCCAATATTAAATTGTATCATAACTAATGTATTGTATTAAAAAAAATATATATTTAAATCAACAAGTGAGTTCGGTCAGACTCTTGAAATCCTAACTAAAACCTAATAACACATGAAGTGTCCTTTTCCTTCCCCAAATATTTTATAATTAAATTATATCAAAAATTAAATTATCCCAAAGGTATTCACCTTATCATTATGCATATGATTAGTTAGATATATAGTAACAAATAATATATAGTAACCAAATAGATTAGTAACACAAAAAGTCAAATAGTTAAACAACTTATCTTTACAGCCCCATAAGTCCATAGGAAAATTCCTCTTGGCACGGTTACATCAGTTTATGGCTGTAAAGACGAATCCTGGGCACAAAAGCCACAACCAGTCACTGGTCTCTGGGTGACAGCAAAATCCACGGGTTTGCTAATTGTATCTAAGGATTCTGTTACTAGTATCCTTGAGGGAATATTCTCAGAAACCCACTCTGTAAATTCTTCTAATAGTGCTCGCATCATATAACTAAGGTCTTCAGAGTCCTGTGCGATGATGACCTGGTCATCCGCAAAGCACAGAGTGTGCAACGTTAAGTCCATTAGTGGTATGCCCATATTCGTACATTTTTTCTTCCATTTGTTGAGTGCTGCTTCGAGGTATATTTTGAATAATGTTGGGGATATAAAGCATCCTTATCTTAGTCCTTTAGTCACTTTGAATCCCGGTGTAATTAGATTTTTTGTTTTAATTCTTGTTGTTTGTTGGTAGTACAACGTTTTTACTGCTTCAATTAATTCTATATTTATATTTGTCGTCCCCAGTGCCTCCCATAATTCATCAAGCGGGACACTATCATATGCTTTCCTAAGGTCTACGAACGTCAGGTGGACTTGGCCACGAGCAAATTTCTTTTCAGTTATCTGAGTAATATAGAAGGCATGGTCTAGTGTAGATTGACCTGCACGAAAACCAGCCTGTTCTTCGGCTTCCATATCTTGGTATTCTTCTATTTGATTTTTTATTATTTTTTCATATATTCTGCTAATACTACTAGTAACTACTGTAACTGTTTAATGAAATATTTAATCGAAGCTATACTTATATATTATATATACTTATATTCAAATATTTCTGATCAATAATTATATAGTTTATTCGTCTTCCGGGTTTGGACCGTGTCATTTGTGAGTGACCCAAAAGTGGGTTCATCTCAAGAAAGAATCTCAAGAGATGAACCACTTTTGGGTCACTCACAAATGACACGGTCCAAACCCGGAAGACGAATAAACTATAATTCTGACTCTGGCCGTGGAAGCCTACGATTTCAATAATTATATATTTTTGGAATTATTTCAGACTAGATTATTGATGAAATTATACTCATTTGTTAGAAGTAATGTCCCCAGAGTAACGACATCCCGTTCAGCAAATGATTGTGTACTCATTCCTACATTTGGAAAGTATTTATACTTTTTATATTGCACCGACCCTTCTCTACAGAGATGAATATCCTAGGTAAGCTGAAATAATTTTTTTCACTGATTCTAAAAATAAATGTAAAATTTCCAAAATAAAACTTAATAACTTTTTACTAACCTTAGAGGCATACAAAAAAAATAGATCGAAAGATGAAAAAGGGAAGTATTTTTGAAGTGTGTAAAAAATTTTAATTTCTAGCTGAGCTCTTGGGCTTACAAAGCAATCTTCAGAGCTATGGTCGAATATTAAATTATCCTACTAGGGGAGGTTATATGGTAACAAAATTACAGAAAAATGCTGGTTTTATTTTTTAACCAAATTTTTTAATGTGTTTATTTTTTGAAGTCCAGTGTACAGTGCTCTTTGTGTTTTTTTATTGATTAAGTAGAAGAAATAAAATAGAACCAGCATTTTTCTGTAATTATTTTTCTTATTAAAAATTTTACGTACTTCCAAAATAGTTCCCTCTTCCTTCTTTTGATTTGTCAGAAGTGTATACAAAAACATATCAGTCTTTTCATTAAAAAAAAAATATATGTACATCGATGGTCGTCATTAGTACAGTGCAGCTCAGTTAAAAAAGGAGCATGTTAACTTGGGAAATAATCACTACAGAAGCAATCCGACAAATTTGTGGCCATATAATGCCCTGATGGTTCCAGGGCAACAACTAACAATAACCACGGAGAAAGCTATAGCTACCTGAGAAAAATAATTCCAAACGTTAAAGCGTTTAAAACAAATAAAAAAAGGTTCATGCAAGTGGATAATAAAGGTAAAATATAATGGCATATCTCGCAAACAGGAAAAAATAGGTATATTGATGGAAGACAACCGTAAATAAGTATTTCTGTTTATTTGGTGGTCATCAGTCCGATGCAGCCAAGTTCTAAAAGGAGCATATTAACTTGGAAAGGAACACTACAGGAGCAATGCGACCAATTTGTGGCAATAGACTTAGAAAACCCCTAACGTTAGTATATTACGTAATTTGTATTCTCAGAAAACTGTAGTTGCCTGTATGGATTATCTTCAATTAATTCCTGTAATAAGTGAATTTTGTAATGTTTCACTACTCTGCGGACAGTAGTACAGTAATAATATTTCATTGTGTTTACTACATTTATTTAAACATACTTTTTAACAAAGTCTGCAAGAATCAACAATGTCCAAAAACCATGTTCTAACAATTGTCCTGACAAGTAGTGACAACTGACAACGATTGTGCCTAGAGCTCCATGACCGTAATCATAACCTACTGATATGACATCTTTCCCCTTACATTTGATAGTCCTTAAAACGCACTGGAGCCCTTTTGAGTCTAGCGCTAGTTCTATTTTCAGCATTCATCTGGAAGGTTGAAAGTTCCTCTACTCCACAACTCTAATTCCCAGATGACGAGTTTAATGATCTACCATTATGTGCAAAATCAGTATTCTTCTTAATTTCCGCTTTAACTAGGGAAGACCTCAAGTGATAACAGTCTCGCCTGACCACTTTCCCACTTTGTTTCTGCACTAAATAAGATCTGGGTGCCTGATCTACTTTTTCCAGAATTTTGTCTGGTCTCCGTTCTCTACCCTCTCTGACACCTACATTCTCTTCTGGCACTATTTCTCTTCTTACCTTGGTGTTTCTATTATAATAATTTTTATATTCGTTTCTTTTTGCCTCTAGTTTATCCCACTCTTCCTTTAGATTTAGATTTTTGTGCTTTTTATTTGATGACAGCTTCGATCTAAGAACCCGGTACTCAGTAATTGTGCCGGTGTTTTATCTGTTCCATTTATTGGAGTATTACGATACTCCAAGAGCGCCATATCTAAGTTGTCACACTTTCTAAGCATGTTTTTTGCAATTTGAACTGCTCGTTCTGCCTGCCCATTAGACCGTGGATAGCGGGGACTGAACGTTACAAACCGAAAATCCCAGTCTTTAGCAAATTGCTGACAATGCCACGAATTATAAGGTATGTTATCTGATATGACTTCGTAGAGTATTCCGTGTGTTGAAAAAAATTTCTTTAACTCCTTTATGACCACCTGAGAAATTTTTGAATTAATTTTCACTATATCGAGCCATTTAGAAAAATAATAGATCAGAACTAGATATGACTACCATTATGTCCACCATAATCTAATATATCACTTGTTCAAAAGGGGCTTGAGGCAACTCTCTAAGTAATAGTGGTTCTTTAGCATTGTGACTTTTAAATATCTCACATTTGCTACAAGTTCTTACCCAGTCTTCTATACTTTTGTTCATTTGTGGCCAATGTAATATCTGTCTTGCTCTCTGTTGAGTTTTCTGAATGCCAAAATGACTCGAATGCAATAATCTTAGCATACTCTCTCTCAATATTTTTGGGACTATAACTCTGTAAAATATTAGTCCGTCAAGTAAATATAGTTATCATACCTAATTGAATCGCTTACACTTGACAGGGTTTTGGTCCACCGTTGTTGTATACAATATTTCCTTACTAGTTTCAGATCCTCATCAGCATCCACTTCAGTCCTAAGTTGCTTTCTCTTCTCATCAGTCATGTCAATATTATGAACTATTTCTGTAATAAATTTATCATCATCCACTTCATCTTTTATAAAATTCCTCGATAATAAATCTGCCACATGCATGAACTTGCCGGGCTTAAATTTTACCTCTATGTCATAGTTCGATAATCTTACCCTAATCCTTTGTAATATCGTGGCATTGTCAGCAATTTGCTAAAGACTGACCGTAATCATAACCTACTGATTCTTGAGCCATGTTCTTAGTACTTAAAGTAGGTTTTAAATTAACATGACCAAAAATTGTTACTTTAGCCCGTTCAGTGCTAATGTGTTTTTCACATTCCTGTTTTTTATCAACTGCTGATCCCGTTTCATGAGAATTTTTATCCAGTTTTAATACGTATGACTCATTATAGTAAATTGCTTATTTTAAATTAAGGGTTGGAAGAGAAATTACTTATTATAATTATCGTAAGTATCTTTGTTGTTTATCTTTCACATTACTTTTGCTTTCTGCTTTTCAGGACTGGCTACATTCGTTGGAGTTTTGTATTCTACAGAGTACTAGAAGTGTTTGGAATTATTGTATCTCTTGCCTTTTTGGCAGAAAATATTGCAAATATGATTTTTATGGATACTTGTAAACAGCCAATCACGGTTCCACAATTCCTGGTACTAATTCTGCAGGGCAGTTTAATTTCCACCGTAATTTTATTATTACTATGGTGGTTAGTATTTCATTCTGTTCAAAACGCTGTTGGAGAGATGCTCACATTTGGAGATAGATTGTTTCATTCAGATTGGTGGAATTGCACTGAAATGCCAGATTTTTATAAAAAATGGAATATTGTAAGTTGCACTTTGTTATTTTCAGGACGAATTGACTGTTTAGTAAGTTGTTGATTATTTATATTATTCTCATACTCTGAGATGTGGTTGTTTAACAAGAAACCGTCAATTGTATGAATTCAACATTTTTTTGTGAGTTCTAGAAATAACTTTATAATTCACCTTCTACATACATAGTTGTTACTTTTCGATACAAAATATGTGATTTTATAGCACCAAAATCTAACATAAGGTAGGTGAGGGAAAAGCCCCAAACTTTTTACTATTTTCAATGCAGTAAGAAGTAGGATAAGTATTTTTTTAAAATTAATATGAAAATATCTTGGTAATTTCTTATTCAGCATGGTGTCTGAATATATGCTGTACCTCACTATTAGTTATTCACAAAATTATATATTTTTTTAAGCATTTGCGGGGTTTTGAACCTTAAAACGGGGTAAGTCCCCGCGGTACAAGCTTTTACCCTTATCGCGGTAAAAGTTCATAAATGCATATAATATTTCAATGAAAATGTTTTTGTTAACCTATAATAAGATTTTTCTCTTCCAAAAATAAAAAAATATTTCTTCAAAAGCACATAGTACCTATTTTAGTAGAGGAGAAGTGGGACACTTTTTGAATAATATTTTTTTTTAATTATTTATTAGTTCATCGTGAAATAATAATGCTAGGATATGTTAGATAGCGCTTTGGCCTACTCAATTTTTAAAAAATGACTATAATAAGTATAATAGATAGTGTGAGGATTTGCAAATGTTCGTTACCACCCATACCACTGAGAGGAGTGGAACACTATAATAGTAGGGAGGTCCAGGACAGGATGTAATAAATGTTTTTTTTTAAACACAATAGAAACTTTTCTTTATTGTACATTGTATTTTGACAATTTAACCGGAAATACAAACAATGATTATTTTACTCTCTCTGTACCTCCAGATGATATTGTGCAGGCAATTTAAGCAATATATCCTGTTTCTCAATAAGGCTATTGTCCCCCACATTCGGAAAATAAAATTTCTAGATTCCTCCTTTTTTATGCATAAATTGAACTTCAACTTCATCTAATGAATCACACTTCAATACTCTCCCAACTTAATAAACAACAGACTTTTTAGGACAAAATTTAACAAGCACAAATTCGTCAGTCTTAGGATTCACAGAACTATTATTCCAATCTATTTCTTCCTCCTCAGAACTCAGAGATATTTCTAGATCATCATCTGTATCTTGATATGGAATTTGTACTTCCTTGGACGAAGACTCAGAATCTTCACAAACTTTCTTCTTATTATATATATTGCGGATGGCTACAGATAATTTACCAGACTTCTTCCTTTCTCTCGTGAGTGCTAATCTTTTGGCCTCTGCTTTCTCTGGTGTACTAGTTAAATACGACTTCTGCCTCCCTTCCTTCCCCTTTGAGCTTCTTTGCGTTGTGCAGCCTTAGGAAATAGTCGAATTTGCTCAGGTGTAATCAGGATTTTCATTTGCATTATAAGTTCTTGAGTGCCGTTAGAGTCTTCAGAAGTTGATGGTTTTTCAAAAGATGTAGAAGGATCTTTTGAGGAATGATGTGAACTGGCTGTATGGTCAATTTCTGATATTCTTTTTCTGCTGAGGAAAAAGTACCATTAGCTTGTGCAGATGAGAAGGTCGGTCAGTTACTAAAGACATTAGAACTTCTGCTTCGGTGAATGGCTCACTGTTGAAAGGGTAGATGCCAGTCTTTCGAAAACCAGCAATAATATTATTCTGCGTTACAGTCAAAGGGTAAGCTTGCCCCACAAGATCACCTATGCAGTAGATGGATATGCTTTTGCCTGGGTGATTCCGTAGCCAATCATTACAAAACTCTGTTATATTGACTTTAAATGGGCTAAAACAGATACATCGACTCCCTTTTCTTTTGCTGTCATTATCACTTATAAACCCACATGGCTCTCGTGGTTGTCTAAAATTAACAATATTGGTGTTCCTTAGTGCATTTTGTGTGGACGAATTATGTGTTCTAGACTCTGTTTAAAAAGATCACTTGACATCCAAACCTGTCTTGCTATGTTAGTGCAATGCTGCCTGGAGGAGCACCATTGAAGAAAAACTCCTTTTATCTTATTCTGGGAAACACAAGTACAGGTGGTAAAGCGTTTCCTATTGCTTTATTTACTATAAAAAGACCAGTGATTTGCTCCCTCCTTTCAGTTGATGTCACTTGTCCTACTTGCTTTTCACCACCTTGGGAGGAATATTGACTGTACTTATTCCTGTTTCGTCGCAGTTGAATATACAATCTGGGGTGAGATTATACTTTCCATAGATAGTTTTTAAGTTATTTAGGAACATATCAACATTGGTTTTGTTGAAGCTTGTTGCCCTTCCCAGACTTGTAGCTTCTGGACAACGTAGCGAAAGTTCTTTGTGACGTTCCATGAAGCCTCTGCACCAGCCATATCCTGCCTTTTGGTTAACTTTCCATGAATTGCCTACTTTACATTTCAGGGCACTTGCATATTGCTTCGCTAGAATTCTGACCTGAACTTATGTTAAACCATGACGCATTCTACTTGTAGCCAGGATGTATTCTACTAGAGCCAATTCTTGCTATTCGGAGAATACGATACCACATATCAAATTAGAATAAAAAACAACGCATTCTTTGTTGGGAGCTTCATCATATTTCTTCAAATGGCGTTGAAGAGCCGATTTTGAAATACTATAAGTCTTTGCTCATTGCCTTATGCTGTTTCCTTCTTTAATCTGCTGAATGGCCTCCACAATGAGAGACTTTAATGGAGCAGTCCTCTCATGATTTTTCTTCTTCTACTTATGAGGCATCTTACACTATAACAAAGGAAAAATATACTATTATAAAGATTTAAATAATATCAAATTAAAAAATAATACAACAGGGGAGGTTCCCAGACCTCCCACCGCCATGCTATGTTCCAGTCCTCCAATGGAGCATTTAACAATAAATCAGTGAACAAACATAACCTCAAGGTGCCCCAGCGTTTTGTATTACATAATTTACAAACTTTAATAAAAGCTTATCATTATATTGGTTTCTATGTTGCTTTGAAATATTATAATAATTAGAAAAAATAATTTACAAACAGGTTAAATTCTTACGTTCCAAAAATGAAAATCAATAAAATTATCTATTGATCACAACACATGTGCTTTTACAACACTAAACAAATAGGAAATGCTACAACCAGTAATACATCGAGTAAGAAAGTACAGAACGGATAGTTCACATATAAAGGTGGGAAATTTGAAATGTCCCACACCTCCTATGTCCCAGACCACCCCCTTCTCCCCTACATAGTAATGTAACAAAAATTATTTTGGGCCAATGTAACAAATTACAATGGAGAGCCAATGTAACAAAAAACAAATGAATTAAGGAAGGTTAAATTATCGTTTATCTTAACAGTCATAATGGCATTTTTGTAAATCTTGTAAATAGGTTGAAAAAACCTATGAAAGTGAAGACAAAAGGTTTGTTGGATACTATAGATTTTTCAATGAGTGTCTTTACTGTATGGAGGTGATCACTGGTATCATAATTTGAATGGAATGCTGCGTGCGTATTGGTAGAAATATAATTTTTTCTTCAATAATGATGGAACTACTATCTACTACTATGATTCACAACTAACCTAGTGAAGAGCCTATGTAGTTTAACAGGCTAATAGGTCTATAACTTTCAAGTCCGTTTTATCTTATTTTTTATGCAAAAGTATGGGTATAGCATTGTTCCATTCTTTGAGCACCTCTACTTTTTGCTGCAAACATAGATTAAACAGTTTCCCTAATTTATTTAACAGCATATCTCCTACTTTACGATATTTTCTATTACAATTTCATCCTCTCCCGGCGCATTGTTATTTTTGAAATTTTTGAAATGGCTGTTTGTATTCATGTTTAGATCTTCCCGTCTACTTCCATATAATTCATCGTAAAACTCTTTGACGACCTGTATTAACTCGTCTCTACGTAATATTAATTTCATTTTTTCTTGTTTCGTAATTTATGTGTTTCGCATTTCCCATTCGTTAGCTTGTACATTAGAACTTTTAGGCTGTTTATTTTCCTCTATAGTGGAAAAATTTCCTTAAATCTCTCCTGATTGCCTATCGAAAGTTTTATTTAGTTTCTCTAGAGTGTGGCTATCTGCTTTTTATCGCTTCTTATTGTGTGTTTCGGTGGATCCACGCAGCGGCTTCAGTGATAGGGACTGATGTTTCGAGGAGTGGCTGATTTGATTTCACTCTAGGATATATAGGACAGTGCACTCAATGACTGCCTTTGTCAGGGCGTGTGACTGAGGCAATTAGTCAAGTCAGGATGATCGGTTCCAGCGGTTGTTATACTCAGTAGTACGGTTAGCAGTGATATGTGCCTGATGTCGGTGGATGAGCTTATTGGAGGTGTCCATGAGTACTATGAGCAGTTATTTGTTAAGTATTATGTTCCCTTTCTAGCTTTGGACTGTTTTGTTGATTTTTTATATCTATGAGTTGTACTTTCACCTCGTAGCATACTGGGTGTCACTGCATGCTGGTGGAACTGCCTGTGGAGTATGTGTTACGCCTTGTTTTTTAGTCACATTATTAAGTAGTCTATTTGGTTTCACACCGTTCGTATGGCGACCCGTGATGGATGTTTCCCAGAAAAGCGATGCGTCTGCGTATATATTTGAAAAGAAGCTGTTTTCAGGTTGAATAAAGTATCGGGATGTAGAAATCCTAGTAGGTAGCGTTTCTCCTCGGGTCATTGTTTCCCCCATCGCGTCCTGGAGAACCGAATTTGGTTCCCAAGGATGTTTTCTAGCTCTGCTGTTTTTTACCCGAATGTTTGCGTTGAAATCGCCACATTAAAATTGTGAACTTTGAATTGAGTACGATAAGCTCATTAAACGCACGTCAGACATATCGTCAGAAAACATGTGCGAGGTCACTCATCGGTATGTTGGCGCAAGCGTATACTTGGATAATTTTCTACTGGTCGCTTTCAGAATAAGATATGTCACTGTAAGATGATATCAGACTTTTCATGTTTATGATCTTGTTCGCGGATTCTTTTTGTGGTACAAAACACAGAATATGAAGACGTAAATTAATCACGATCAAGATCAAATAGAACGTTAGACTATTAATATATTATAAATTATTATACCATTATATATAAGTTAATAAGTACGTAACAATTGGAAACATACATTGTATTATAGATTGTATTTAACTCTACTGTGATTAAAATTTTGTTAAAATACATGTGTTGAAGACCGTAGTAATTGATATAATTCAATTTTTAGGTTGTCGGAGACTGGCTGTACACTTACGTCCATAAAGACATAATAGAATCCTTCGATCCACGAATTAAATTGATACCAAAAGCTGCGACCATTATGATATCAGCAGGATGCCATGAGTCTAATAATCACAGCTTATCCGATTGGCACTTTCCTTTTGTCCTATTCGTACACAGCTCTGTGATGTTAGTTTCTGTTTACTTTTCTACTATTAAAGTGGCAAATAAAGGTTTTAACAAACTCCTAATTATAACATTGTATCCTTTGGGACCTGGAACAATCGGCACTTTTGGATTCGTGGAGTATTATTCCAGGCAAAATATTCCCGATACTAATTCTCTTTTTGTATTTTGGTCCAATAATTGTGTAACTTTTAAATAACTGTTTTCCTTGAGTACTATAATAAAAGGTGTTATTAAAAATTGCAGTTATACTGTAGCTAAGAAAAAACAAGACTCATTTGGGATCGATATTAACGTGTGTTAATATATTTATTTGTTAAAAAGAAGTTAGTAAAATTCTGTGTTGTGTGTATTGTAGTTTTTTTATACGTACGGACTAGATAACACTTCTTAGATACTATTAGACAGAACGTTTTGCGCGTTCTGATTAATGTGAAACTTACATCCAAGCTATAGCATAAGTAAAAGATAAAAGAATGCCGTATGTAGTACCCGAGAGGATAGTGTTTAAACTTCTCTTTTGAAAAGCCCATGTCAGACAGCAAAGACTGGGGAGAAAAAAAATCACTGAAAACCAGGGCCGAACAGGGTTAAAATCAAACCAAATCTAGCTTTAAATGGACAATAGTTAAACAATCAAGATATTTACATAATCTAGTTCAATTAAATGCAAAGGAACGTACGAAACAAAGATGCCAAAACATATTATTACAGGTAAACAAATATTTCTTTGAAGTCATATATCCTAGAAAAAGATCTATAAAACTGGCATTACATCAATACTGGAAAATAAAGTAGCAATATTAAAGATAATTAGAATAAAAATTCGTCTTTATTAACCCGTAACCAAAGACGATGAAATTTTTTTATTATTAAATATCAATAAATTTAACATACATTTCGAAAATATATCTCTTGAATAAATATAAATAACGTTTAATGAATTAAATACTACAGAACATCACTTTAATTTAACAAACAATCACAATATACCTTTTTTTCTACTTCATTGGTTAATATCTATCTCCTCAAGAATATCTATCTTCCCCGTTAATTAATAAACAGTTAAAATAGTAAAAACTGAAGAGTCCCCGATCCAAGAATCAGCAATTACAGGATAGTTTGAACTATGTTTCTCCCAATCATTAATAAATCGTGTACCTGCATGTAATAATGTTTTGTTATTTACTATTTATTACAATTCAATAGACTATTTTCTACCAATTTGTGGGTCTTACTTTGTCTGCTTAAACAGTTTAATTCAATTAAAAACCACACACGTGTAATATTGGCATAATTATTGTAATTTATATTATTTATCTTTATGTTTATCTTTATAAGACAGCACCCGAATATGGGTTTTATTATTTTCAGCTTTAATTAACTTTGTATCGACTGACCTGAAGATGCTTTGCAAATTGTAGAAAGCGAAACCGGTCGTCTAGGTAGTTAAATTAAACTGATTGTAAGTCTTATTTATTCTCTCTTTACCCATTTTAAATTATTAACTTTCGCGATTTTTAACAAGCCGGTAATCTTTCGCCATTACTGTAGGATCTGTGCCCTAGTAACAAAAATTTCTATATTTGTTCACTCGTCAAGAATGGGAGTGAAAAAAGTTTTTTTGGTTTTTTATTGCTAAAGAACGTACCTACCATGGTTTAGATAATATTGGAAAGCAGTATTTCTATATATAAAAGAACCCACAAGTCTGCAGTGAAACCAAGTGTAATAATGTTTAACACGGACTGTTGTACATATTTATTAATTTATTACTTTCTGTGTTACAGATTCAGTGTCATCACTAACCTCCTAATCTCAGTCCTTAACCTAACCTCTGCCCCGAGACCACGTGCCGCCTGTCCCATGTCATAGTCCTGTCAGACTTTACATTTACAAGCTATTCAGTCTCATGACATCTTTCCCTCCTATAATATACAGACATTACAACAATGAACTAAGAATAAAAAACATTCTAAAATAAAAACTAATAACAATACTGATGCAAAACTAGTAATTTCAAAATCATTATATCTAGATGGGGGTTAATTAATCTGTTTACTTCTGGTAGAAACTGATTCGATATTTCACTCTCACGGCCATTGATGTTGAAGGTCTGCCATTCTCATTGTGATCAAAATCATCTGCTAGGTTAATTATGATGGTTTAGGCATATTATTAGATGGTCTCAAGTGAAGCTATTTCTTCTTACAAGTGTTCCATTTTCTTGTCTCAACAACATATGAATCTTGGCTCTTGTAAACCTCGTCTAACCACAGCAGGTTTCCATTGCCCATCTTTCTTATAACCACATTATCCACTACACTTAATGCTTCTTTTGTTGCTGTATTTCTGTCATAGTAGTGCTTGTACATTTTCTTTTATTATCCAATTTATTCTTTTCATTTTTTAGGTCTACCTGTTCTGGTAAATGAACACTTGTAAGAAGAAATAGCTATTCACTTGAGACCATCTAATAATATGCCTAAACATCATATTAAACCTAGCAGATGATTTTGATCACAATGAGAATGGCAGACCTTCAACATCAATGGCCCGTGAAGGTGAAATATCGAATCATTTCCTACCAGAAGTAAAAGATTAATTAAACCCCCATTAGATATAATGATTTTGAAATGTAACTAGTTTTTCAATCATATTGTTATTAGTTTTTTCACTATAACCAAATTGCTCAACCACTCTGTAGGACCCTCACATTTAGATATAATGCCAGTTTTTCTAAATCTAACAGTTATTTTTTTAATCTCTCTTTAATGGCTAAAGGGACCCTCGTGGGGGCTTAGCCCAGGAACACACAATTCTCCTTGAGTTTTTAGTTTACTTTTTTGAGGACATTTACCTAATCCATGATTACATCAATATTTTGTTTAATAAAGTCATTTTTTGTTATATTTAAAATCTATGGTATCTACTCTTTGTATCAAACCCAAATCTAAACATGATTTTAAACCTAAAATTGGCATAAGTTATCTTAACTATAACAAATTCTAGTTGAAATATGTTCCCTTTAAATTAAACATTTTTAGTGTAATAATACCCACAGGTTTTATTTAAATCCCCCATAAGCTTCTAACCTTATTTTGCTCTGAATTATCTCATGATTTTTATGATTTTATTCAAAAAGTAGATTGATATAATGTTAACCTGAGAACCTGTATCTATTTTTTTAAAGTCTATTCCATATGCTCAATTACTAACCTTTCAGTCCATTCCTTATTTCCTTTTATTTCATTTACCTCAATTGATGTTACCATAAATTCTTCCTGTTTACGGTCCATATCTACTTCCTTGAATCTCCTGAACTTCTCTTATGATTCGGTTGAACACATTTTCTCGAAATGATTGTAATACAAACACTTATTGCACATTTACCAAATGCTGGACACCTTCTGGAACTCATGGAGCACGGCCACATTTTCTGCACTGACCACTGTTCTTGAGTTTTCCTCCTGTTCCCTCTTTTGTTTCTTCCGATATTAAAGTTGTTATTCGAAGCTTTTGCCCTTGCTGTTTGATTACCATTTCCCCCTTTTACAGAATGAACTTAAGTGCTTGTACTTGACTGAACTTCTTTAAACTGTATTTTGAAATTTCATATGCTCTACACATGTCTATTGCCTTTTGTAAGGTTAACTCATGATTCTGCAACATTTTTTCTTGTAGATCTTTATTGATATGTTCCTAAAACTAGTCTATCCCTGATCATTGAGTCTAGTACATCTCCGAATTCACAATTTTTTTGCCATATTTACGCATGGCAGTTAGGTAAGTATCAAATAGCTCTCCTTCCTTTTGTTTCTATTGTAGAATAAAAATCTTTCGTAGATCACATTCTTTTTAGGGTGAAGTAATTCTCTAATTCACCCAATTACTGTACCATACGATTTTCTCTGTGCATCTGTAACTTTAAGGTGTTAAACTCATCAAGTCCTTCATCTCCCAAAAAATTTAACAGTAAGCAATTTTTACTACGTGTCTTCCTTTTCGGCCTTGTCACTGGCCAAGAGGTAAATTTCCAAATGACTGTTTGAATCGCCGAAAGTTTTCAGCCACATTACCTTCAAATGATAATGGTGAGGTATTCTAAACTCCATATTGTTTTAATTCTAACAACTTCTTGTTTTCATTTATTTTGGAAGCAGCAGCTTCATTAACCACAAGACTGCGCCATGTAATAATGTTTAACACGACTGTTGTACATATTTATAATATTACTTTCAGTATTACAGATTACAGTGTCATCCTAACCTCCTAATCTCAAGTCTTAACCTAACTCTGCCCCGAGACCACGTGCCGCCTGTCCCATGTCATAGTCCTGTCAGGACTTTACATTTACAAGCTATTCAGTCTCATGACACCAAGTATAGCTAAATGCATAGCAAGTTATTTACCTGTTTTGTTATCTGCTTTAGAAGATGATTCTGCCCTGTTAGAATAGAAGTCGTAACTGACAAAATCAATATTTCGAGATATTCAATATTTAGATTTGATTAATTGCCATCAACTGTAATGACTCATTAAAAATCTGAGCACTCTTTGTGTAATAAATTTACAAATGAAATATTTAAAGTTGCGACAACTTCTTGATATAATATAATACGAAAACTTGATATTTGTATATTTTTCAATAAAATTCTGGTACATCATTTTATTGTGATGTCACTGGAAGATAAACGGAGTTCTGATGCGTGTTCCACGTAAGTGTGGGTTCTGTGGGTTTGGAAAACATTCTATATATTCTTTATATTATTTCGATCTATTTTAATTTTTTCCTGTCTCTCCTTGGTTTATTCCTGTTGAACGTCACTTTTGAATTTGTTTTTAGTAAGGGCATCTCTAATAACTCTGTCATTTTTCTTTTGATATCCCAGCGTTCTCATAAAAAATATTTTGCAGACACTTTGTTTGCATCCGTCATTGTCTTTAGGAAATATATAATAACTTATCGCCTTCTAGACACAACACTAGCTGTGGTTTACCGTTTGGTTACTGTTCAGATGCGTTATTAAAATAAAATTTTTCTGTTCGTCTTTTGAAATTTCCAAAACTCTCCATTTATTTCTGTTCGTCTCGCTTCTGTAATTTTTCGGAACATCTCTTGCAAAGAGATACAAGATGGTTTTACACCGTGCTTAGCAATTTAGTGGCTGTACATTTTTCTTTGTTTTTCTCATTCCT